GGGGGGGGGGGTGCTAAAAACAGCTGTGCATTATTTCCCACTAAGATTCTGAGACACCCCCCCACACACACACAGCAGAGATGGGGAGTGATTAACCTAACACTGAAAGTAGCAGAAGGCCCAGGGATCAGGAGCATGTGTAGAAGGTCAGCAGAGCCTGGATAAGAGGGCATAAGGCTCAGTCCCCCAAGACTCAGCACCATGCACTGTCAAGGTGAAGGGAACCATTCATGACTTACACTAGACATGGGCATTTTGGCCACAGGCACAGCCCATGGCCAAAGGCCACATAGGCTGAGCTGCACCTTCTCCAGAGGCCAGCAGAAAAGGACTACACAGAGATTAACACCTGCTTCTAGGATGTGATGAAGGTTCCATTTTCCTCCATGCCCGGATTTCCTTGGAGGTTAGGGAGGTGGGTACTTAACAGTGGAAAGGAGAAAGGGATGGTGAGAGAAACCTTGAGATGGACTTTTACCTAAAAGACTATGCATTTATCTGAAAGATGCCACTTTAAGGAGAAAAGTCGCCTTGAGTGGGCAAGGTATGTGCATGTGTGGTTTTAGTTTTTGTTGTGTTGCTGTTGTTTTGTGATTGTGGTTTCCCACCCAGTGAGAACAGGGGCTCCATAGCACAGTGAGGTTATAGAACATAGGGTTATCTTTATTGACCACTGTTTCCTAGGGTTTCAGGGTCCAGTATACAATCCCAGGATTGGAGACCAGAACCCAGCAAGATGAGGTCAGGGAAAAGGGGATAATTTCCTGGCTAAGGAATCCTGGGAAGGCTGGTTTTATTAAAGATGGAAGCTTACTGCCACCCAGTGACAGTTGGTGTGAATGCCCTAGCCCATAGAACCACCCACATATATTAGTTACTGAGCCACAAACAGCAGAGCCCCATGCCAATGGCCAGTGGTGGTCAGCCCAAAGCAGAGGCTGAATGGAGACTGCTGTGGAGCTTCAGTAAAGCACATTAGAACCAATCACATTTTAATGCTCTAGCTCAGGGCTGGAGTGACTTTGAATGGTTCTCCAACATCACTACTAAGGCCTTAGAAGACTGGACAGAGCCTAAGTGCCTGAGTTTGAATCCTGGCCCCACCACTTACTAGGTGTAGTTTAAAAAAAGTCCATAAATTCTTTCAAATGCATCCCTTTAAAAGGTTGAATCTAATTTTCCTCCCCTTGAGGGTAAACTGTACTCAGTGACTTCCTTCTAATGAACAGAATGTGGTGGAAGTGACTGTGTATAAGCCCCAAGACTAGGTCATAAAAGGCATGTGGCCTTCCCTTTCTCTCTCTCTCTCTGATCACCGGCTCTGGGGGAGTGTGTGTTAGAATTTAGGATCTACTAAATTCCAACCAGCTTCCAGTTGTAAGGCTATGCAAGCAGTCCTATGGAGAGGTCTACGTGGTGAGGAACTAAGGTCTCCTGCTAACAGCCATAATGAAACTGAGGCCTCCTGGTTATAGCCTAGAGAAAGAGTCATCTCAGATGCAGATCATCCTGGCCCAGTCAGACATTCCAGTGACAGCAGCCCTGGCTGACATCTTGACTACAACCTCAGGACAGACACTATATCAGAATCTACTAGCTAAGCTGCTCCTGAATTCTGGACCCACAGAAAGTATGAGATAATTAATGTTTGTTATATCAAGCTACTGAGTTTGGAGGTAATTTGCTACACAGCAATAGATAACTAATTCACTAGGTGTGGGATCTTGCCTTTCTGGGCCCTAATTTCACCATCTATAAAACAGGGATGTTACCTATTAGAAGACAATTCTCCATGGTCTCTCACATCTTTGTATGTCCTTTGAACAAGGCACTGGCTTTTCAAGGATATTTATATAACCTACAGCCTTCAAAGACAGAGAGAGTTTTTTCCTCCAGAGCCAAGGATGGGCAGGCTTTCTGCCCATTATAAAAGATTCAGGCCCCCTAAGCTCAGAGTTCTTCTCCTACAATACAATGCACTATATGGATAGGTGTAGTTGGCCCTCTTCATGTCACCCTGTGAGAACTGGGGCTTGGGCACCAATACAGGAAAATGATGACATTCTGGTTACTTTTATTGCTCTGAGTAATAAAGTCCTTTGTCTCCGACCCAGGAGCCTCATGTTTTTGGCCAGCATCTCTGAAACAATGGCAGGCTCACTTGTCATCTTGCAAGGAAGGAAAAATCTCAGACCCTTCCTAGTTCTTTATATTACCATCCTCATAGGGATGTTCTGCAAACTGCATGAGTTGACCCAGGTAGATCACTTGACATGGTTCCTGGCAGATGGCAAAAGTGCTCAATAACTGTTAACTATTATTCTTGTGGCTATTGTAAAACCTACCTTTCCTTCTATTGTCAGTGTTGTCATCATCATCATCATCTCTTTGGATTATCTCCAAGGAGATGGTGTTGTTATCATACACCACACAGTACTTCACACACTCCAGATCGACAGACTCCGGGATAAGATATCCATTTGCCATCTAAAGAAACCACAAAAGAAGCCTTTTGGTAGGTGGGTTCAGTTGAGAAAATATTCCCTGCACACCAGCACTGGGGGGAGCTGGAGGTAGGACTATGCCTGTTTTCCTGACTACACAAAGGCACAGAGCACTGAGAGTGGACCAGAGAGTCTATTAAACTCCAAGGATCTTCCACACCCACATCCCCTGCTGTGAAAAGCTGACCACAGCTGACAGGACTTGAAATAAGTGCCTGGCCAAAGAACAGCTGGCCTATTGACCCGCCAGTTGAACTAACACATCCTCTCTCTGGGGGTAAGTGGTTGCCCATAGGGGCCAAAGCCAAAATCCCCCATAAAAGGGCTGTAAGCAAAAGATTTGAATAAGCAGAAGTCACAAGCAAGCAGATAAAATGAAGCCAGCTGTAAAATGTAAAATGTAAGATCTGATATTTTATAGTCACTGATGTATCCTGAATGTCTAGAACAATGCCTGGCATGTTAGGCCATAAATATGGTTAAAGGAAGGAATTGGCAAACAGGTCCATGAGGTCATGAATAGTAGTCAGGAAGTAGGTGAGTCACCGTCATGGTGGACTGAGGGGGCCAGGAACAATGGGTGCCTTCTGCCAAGAAGGGAATGAGCTCTCGAAGAACCAGACTTGCCTAGGATCCCACATGGTGTTCCAGAGCTCCGAAGGCCTGGCTGGGTGGCAGCCTGCAGAGGTTAGTCCTCATTTGTTCTCAATGCTTCCTGAAAGCCCCCTCTACTCAGGGGAACCTGAGCCTGACTCTGTCCCTTGCGACCTGTCTGGCTAAAATAGAGGCCCTGACAGGATAGGACAAGTGCACATCTACTCTACAAGGCAGGGAGGTAAGGCCTATGCAGGTACAGACCAGGGAAGTTCTCTGGAACTTGAAGGGGAGAAATCATATTTGTCTACAGAAATTAGCAGACCGATGGTGCTCAGAGGATGAGCAGGATTTAGACAGGTGATAATGAGGAAAGAGGGGTTCTGAATGTGGAAAAGGGCATGAGCATCTGCATGAGCATGAACAAAGGGGAAGGTGAGAACAGTCCAGAGAGGCTGGAACAGGTGGGAGAGCAGGGAGAAGTGTGGCTGGACATTCATTCATTCATTTATTCAATGAACATTCGTCAGGACCTACTTTGTACTTACACTGTACTAAGTTCTGGAATACAGAGATTTTTTTTCTTTTTTAACCCTTCCCCAAGGGTATGTTTTCCATTGCTTTTCAGAGAGAGAGAAAGAGAGAAAGAGAAACATCGATGTGGGAGAGACATCTATTGGTTGCCTCCCGCATGCGCCCTGACTGGGGTCAGGGATCAAGCCTGCAACCGAGGTTCGTGCCCTTGGCCGGAATCAAACCTGGAACCCTTCAGTCCATGGGCTGACTCTCTAACCACTGAGCTAAACCTGCTAGGGCTACAGAGATTTTTTTTTTTTAAAGGGAAATTGGAGGACTCAGAAAGGCTCACGGGGCAGGAGGCATTTGAGATGAGACTACAAAGGCAGGTGGAAATTTGCCAGATGGACAAGGGCTGGGTGTGTATTCAAGGCAGAAGGAACAGCTTTCAATCATTCACTTTAGTCAACAAATAGGTACTGACCCAATACCAGAGACCAGACAGAGCATCCAGGATACAATGATGAGCAAAGCACACACACCCTGTGCTCAGAGCAAGCACTGTGTTCAGGGGATCACATGCACTGTTTCCTAGATCTTAAGAGACCAATGGTTGTAAGGTGCACCACCAATTTAACAACAGTCACAATCAGGAGCTACATAAAGGGAGGGATTTATTGGCATGTAACAATACTTCAGGCAGGGGAGGGGGCAACTGGTCCTCAGGAACCTGAACCAGGGCTCTAAAGCCCAGACCTCCCTCTCAGGCACTGCTCTTCTGCTTCCCCAGCATGCTGACTTCACCTTCTCAGACAACTTTTCCCGAGACTCAAGTCATGGCCACCAGAGATGCTCAGACTCCCATCCTCCAAACTCCACCACCAGAACCGCAAGAGCTGCCTTCTTTAATTCCAATTCTGACTTGTTCAGTTTTTATCCTTGGCTGATTTGTGGCCAAGGTTTAGAAACTATTTTAGGAAGCACCACTAGACCTCCATGGTTTGAGCAGGGAGAGAAGTTCCCCCTCAAAAAAGGTGGGTGCCAGGCAGAAAATAACAGATGTCCACCATATGCATTTTGGGGGGGGAAAGACAATACCACATTAAAAGTGTAAATCAATTGTAGGACAGATTTCAATTTCAGAAATGTTAAAATATGGGGGGAAGAGGAGATATGTGCATCTTAAAACCAAGGAAACACAGCAGGGCAATACTGTTGAGGTGTCAGGTGAGAGTAGAAGCATGCTGGAGGGGAGGCTGGAGAAGGAGCTAGCATCAGATGGAGAGGCTCTGTGTCCTGTTGGGGCTGGGGGTTCCTTGAAGGCCTGCAATCTACTGGCAAAAACACTGGGGGGCAAGGGGTGTCAGTCTGGCTAAGGGGTTCTAAAGGGCTGAGACAGAGAGAATGGCTATTTTCCAGAGTTGGGGGTGCTGCCAGAATCAAAGGGATATGCAGACTTGAGAGCTGAGTTGGAAGGTAAGGGCTATGCATCACGAAGCAGCTCTGAATAGGCTACAAAAAGCAGAGAAAGGCCTGAAATGGGGATTTAGAGGAAGAGGGTGGAGCCAGAGAATTGGAGATCCAGGGGCAAAAAAGAAAACACACACCAAAAACAGATAATGATGGATTGGTTTGGGAAAGCTTGTTAGGCAGCTAGCTTATCCTGGAAAAACACGAGCCAGAGCCCATGCTCCCTGTTGAGTTATGTGTGGGAAAGAGCCAGAGTTAGAATGCTAACAGCACAGTGGCAGTGGGAATTTTACGAGACAAATTTTTAGAAGTAAAATTGACAGGACAGCTCAACTACTTGAAGCTGGAAGCTTGGGTGAAATCTCTGAGCAAGAAAGAATACTAACAGATATGAAGGAGACCAGGGTTTTCTTTATAGCTAGCAGAAGAAGATGAAGCTGAACCAAAGAGACAGAGAGGGAAGTAAGAGAGAACCTGGAAGTCAAGGGTGGAAAATGTGGTCAGGACTGCAGAGATAGAGGTGGATCCTGAATGAAGGCTGCCAGGCTTGACAATGACTTGAGAGAGAAGATACGACATTGGGGTGGAGAAAAGGGCCTCACTGCAGGAGTGGGGCATGGTGACTGCTACAGGGCTCTGTCTTTTTAAATAGTTGAAATGGAGAAAGGAAGATGGGAATGGGTCAGATGGAAATGGAAGGGAGCAGCTTCCGTCTTTGAGTTATAGTAACTATATTGTTTACTTCCCTCGTAGAATAAACCATATTGGGCAAATCTATATGGAACAGACCCTCTTATGGTCTGTTCCCTAAGTAGAACAAAAGCTCTGCAAAGGCAGGGACAATGAATTAAGGGCATCTTGTAATTAGTTCTATTCCCAGGGTTTGGAACAGAGCCTGGCATGTAAAGGAATTAATTCAGTATTTGTTTAATAAAGCTGCTGACCATGGGGGTTGGAGGGACACCCTAGGGAGTGTGTGAGAAGTGTGGGAGACCCTCAGGGTGGATGCACAAGGCCAGTCCTGCCTCTGCTGCCCAGTGTCCAGGAGTAGGTGCCACCTCCTGGATCTAGAATAAAACTTCCTGCCCTTCCCACCCTCCTGTAAGGTAGCCAGCCTGCCCCAGATTCTGACTCTGCCAGGATACCTTCTTCACTCGACGAGCTGTAATCACATGGCTTTCATTGTACTCCCATTTGGATCGCACGTCTGAAAAGGAAGAGTATTTAACTAATAACTGCATTTGCAAAAGAGCACATGACCAAACTACTTAGAGAACTCATCATCATCATCATCTTGTTTGGCAGAGAGGTGAAGTTACTGTCAGCTTAAAACTCAAGGTGCTGTTCCGCTATTCTGAGCTGCCCACACCATGACTCACCTGCCCCATCACACCCACACACCCCCTTAAGGGGTAGTGAAACTTTGCATCTTTAATTTAGGAGCAGTTTTCTCTGAGGCCAAAAAAAAAACAAGGAGGGGAGAAATCAAAGCCAGAGTGAGCTCATTCTAAATGCCCCCCATGGGATTTTAGACCCAAATTCAGACTCTAGAACCTAGGAGCTAAGGTTCTAATGCTCCTGTAAGGATAGAAGGTGCATTGTTGATGCTCCTCAAAGTTGGGAGAACATGGAACAGAAATAAGCTTTATGCATAAATACAACATATGACTGTTATCCAAAATATACAGAGTTCCTAAAACTCAACAATAAGAAAACAAACAACCCAATTTAAAAAATGGGCAAAAGATTTGAACAGACACCTTACCAAAGAAGCTATAGAGATGGCAAATAAGCATATGAAAAGATGTTCAAAGTCATATGTCAGAAGGGAATAGCAAATTAAAACAACAGTGAGATACTGCTACACGCCTATTAGAATGTCAAAAATTCAAAACATGGACAACACCAAATGCTGGTAAGAATGTGGAGCAGCCCGGCTGGGTGTGGCTCAGCGGTTGATCGTCGACCTAGGATCCAGGCAATCAGGGTTTGATTCCCTGTCAGGGCACATGCCCCGGTTGCGGGCTGTAGCAGATCAATGACTCTCTCATCATTGATGTTTCTATCTCTCTCTCCCTCTCCTTTCCTCTCTCTGAAATCAATAAAGATATATTTTTAAAATAAAAGAAAAAAGAATGTGGAGCAACAGGAACTCTCATTCATTGCCGATGGGATTGCAAAACAGTATGATCATTTTGGTAGACAGTTTGGCAGTTTCTAACAAAACTAAACATATTCTTTCAGCAATCATCAGTCAAAATAAATAAACTAGATCTTCACATTCAGACGGGGAAATCTCAAAAATATAATTTTAAGCAAAAAAAAGCAAGTTGCATAATGATTGTACATTATGGTACTATTTGTGTAAATATTTAAAGCACACATTTTGGGATGCCTGCATTTGCAATAAAAACAGCCCTCATCAGTTTGACGAGTCAGCCTGTGGACGGGAGGCTCGCAGGTTCAATTAGGGTCAAGGGCACGTACCTCAGTTGCAGGTTCAATCACAAGCCCTGGTTGGGGCGCGTGCGGGAGGCAACCAATCAATGTGTCTCTCTCACATAGATGCTTCTCTATGTGTGTGTCTCTCTCTCCCTCTCCTTCTCCCTCTCCCTCTCCCACTCCCTCTCTCCCCTTCTTCCCTCCCTTCCACTCTCTCTGAAAATCAATGGAAAAATATCCTTGGGTGAGGATTAAATATATATATTATATATATATATTATGCAGTTATCTTTGGGGAGGGAAAGAAATGGTATCAGGATGGGGTAAAAAAGAGGGGTACATCTGTGTGTGTAACATTTAATTTATGTTAAACCTGAGTACATGGGTGTTTATTAGCATTACAATATATTTGTTAGATGTTTGATATATTTCACTAAAACAAGAGGATTCAGAACACAGGTCTTCCAGGAACTTCTAGATTTAATCTGGGATGATTTCCAAGTCATGTGAATGAGTAGCAGCATTTTAAGCTATGCCTAATAAGTCTAACAGATTTCTAAAGTCATTTATTCCTCCCATCCCCAAAAGTTTGTTGATTCATCAAAAATAATGTTTGAAGGATGCTATCCACAAAATATTCTTTTAAAAGGACTTACCCAATAAACAGAGATAGTTGGGTTCAGTCAATCTGGATAGTTTTGTAACCTGATTCAAGATGTTGTAAAGCTCTGTTGGTTCACATAAAACCAAATCAGCCATCCTATTGGGAAGAAGCAATAATTGGAAGCTTAGTACTTCTTTCTAATTTAAATGAATGGCCAAAAAATAAGATATTAAATTAAACCCTTTCTTAACACATCCTCAGACAAAGATGAAAGTAATCATGGACATGATCAATAAAGCCTCGAAATTCTGTAGCGAGCCCTGGCCAGTGTGGTTCAATGGGTTGGAGTGTCGTCCCATACACTGAAAGTTTGTAGGTTGGATACTGTCAAGGTGCGTGCAGGAGGTGGCCGATCAATGTTTCTTTCTCACATTGATGTTTCTCTCTCTCTCTTTCTCTCCCTTCCCCTCTCTCTAAAATCAATGGAAAAATACTCTTGGGTAAGGATTGAAAAATAAAAAATAAATAAAATTTTGTAGTGAAATGTGTATAGAGGAGAATAAAATATTGAACACAACATATGAACTACATAAATAACAAGTAAGCTATAAAAGTCACCAATTCATTTGTTCTTTTAGCAAATAATTACTGAGCACCTACTACATGCCAGGCACTGAAAATAACTGTGGTAAACTAAGTATGCCTTCACGAAGGTTACAGTCTAGCATGGAATGCAGACGTTGGACAAAAAACATACGAAAAGCACTATAAAAGAGTCTGTACCATGTTGGAGGAGGAGCTAATGAGAGGGCCTAACCTAGTTGCGGGGATCAAAGAAGGACTGTTTGAGATGTGACTGCTAAGCTGAGACGGGGGCTAGGCAAGACAGCCAGAGGGAGAGAGAGTAAAAAAGAAGGTAAGAACATTCAGTACCTGAGAGAGTTCAAAGAGCCTGGTGTGGCCACAGCAGGGAGAGGGAAATGAGTGAAGAAAGACCCTGGGGAAGCTTATGATAAGGATCATGAAGGTCAATGTTGGGTGGAGAATTGCTGACGTGTATTAACAGAACTGCCCAGTCAGCTTGGGCTCTGGTTCCTTATTGCAGGGCTGAGACACTAGTTCCTGAGCATGACTATCTGGTGCTCCAAGGACACTGAAGGGGAAGGGCTGGGCCTGTACAACAGCTTCCTGCAGGGAAGCCTCCTTTTAGCAAGGGGTGGGGGCTGTGTGGAGCTGTCCAGCACCAGAGGGACAGGTGGAGAAGTTGAGTCCAGAGGTAGGTAATCTTGATCAAAACAGTTAGGACCCACTTTAGAGTTACCAGTATGACGCTCCAGGGAAAGGCCAAACCCTCAACATGGGCCCTGGATCCTTCTCATCTCATCAAGGACTTCAGTTCTCAGCCTTCCCTCTAATTTCAACCTCTACATGGATCATTCCTACTAGCACACAAACAGCAAGACTGTTTCTGTTCTCTTTACAGCAAGACTTTTCAAAAGGGTGGTGTTGACTCACTGCCTCCACTTCCTCATCTCCAAACTCTCTACTTCCTAATCCTAGCTGTGCCACTTACTATGAGCTGCCTTATGGGGAGTAATTAGCCTCTCTGTGCCTCAGTTTGCACCTCTGTAAAACAGGGATAATATTAGCATTGCCACTTCTATAAAATGAGCATAATCATACCTACCTGTTGCGTGAGCGTTAATGAAATGACATGTAAGGCGTTCTGAGCAGGGAGGAAATAAATGCGAAGTGTTGGCTATTGGTACAAGCTTCTCCCATGGAGTTTCTAACCCTATCAAACCATGTAAGTTGTTATCAAGATCATCAACAATGTGCATCTTGCCTAACCCACTAGTCACTTCTCTCTGTGCTCAAAACAATGGAGTTTCTTAGCTGCATTTAACCCAGTTGAGCATTCCTCCTTCCCCAGCACTCTCCACCTCTAGAACTACCTCCCACCACACACACTCTCCAGGCTTCCCTCCTACTTCTCAGACTGTTCCTGCTGTCTTCTTTGCAGGTTTTCTCTTCACATAAGAATGCCCTTGGGCATAGTCACCTTTCTTCTCTATCTATACTCTCATTCTAGGACAGGGCTTCTCAACCTCAGCAGCACTGATATTCAGAATCAGACAATCTTCTATTGTGGGGCTGATCTGTGCATTATAGGATGTTTAGCAGCATCCCTGGCCTCTGCCCAGTGGCTGCCAGTAGCAAACCTCCACCAATCCAGCTGTAACAACCAAACAAGTTTCCAGACGTTGCCAAATGTCCCTTGGAAGAAGAGATATCAAAAACCCATTTGTAAGATTATCACCACGATCACCTTTTCAATCTCCACTTTCTCTTCTTTTGAATCTGAACTCTGGAGTTACTGTTATATGGTTTGGGGGTGGGGTATTAAAGGTTTTTTTCTTTGTTTTTCTTTTTAAATCTTTTTGCTTCATGGTTAGGATGCTCTGATCTGACATTTGACATGAACACAAAGTGCTAGATGCTCTTGTTGACTTCCATCAAATGGGATGGGGAAAATATAACCGTTCTTGGTAAAGTCTTTCATAATGGTTTGATTTTTTATTTTGAGAGAATCTTTTTTCCAATGCATGCTTTTTTCCAGTTGCCTTATCACTTATTGTAGATGGCTTACTTTTGCTTTCATGCAGACTATGCTGCAAGTCTGTTTCATTTAGTAAACTAAAAATTATTGCTTTATAAAAAAAAAAATACTAGTTGAAAACCACCACTCTAAAATCCAGAGTCTAGGTGATTCTTCTCGTCCCCCCTGTATACCAATGAATCCCAAACTATACCCCTGCTTGACCTCTCCACTGAGATGCCTAATCAGCATCTCAAATAGCTAATACAGACATGCCCACACCTCCAATACATGTTTATCTTTCAGTCTTCTCAGTCTCAATAAACAGCACCATTATCCATCTAGTTACACAAGTCCACATCCCTAATCCTGTTTCCCTCCTCCCCTCACATCCACTCTATTAGCTCTACTACCTAAATATATTCCAAATCTATCTCCTCTCCATCTCCAGGGCTAACATTCTAGACCAAGGCATTATTATCTCCCTCCTAAAGATGCAATACTTTCCAACTGGACTTCTTGTTTCCTCCCTACAGTCTAATCTTCACATGGCAGTCAGGGTGATCTTTTCAGAATATGTTTGTCTTTATCTCACTTGCCATCACCTAACATTATCACTCATTTGTTTGCTGGCTTTATCATCAGTCTCCTCCCACTGGAATGTATGGCTCATTAGGACAGGTACCTTGCCCTTCTTGTTCACTGCTGTAGCCTCACCCAGTGCCCAAGAAGCATGGGTTAAATGAATAAATTAGTCACTGCTCCTGCCTTCACCAATGGGGCCATCTTGACCTGATGCCATACATATAGGTGCAACACGTAGATTCCTAAGGACCTCCCCACTCCCACCTCAAGTCAGGTCCTCTGCCTCTGAAAGCCCTGTCTCCAGGCTATATTGGAGGTGGTAAGTGTAAGGGAGAGAGGACGGGCTTTGGGTCTAGTCCCACAACTTCATTAAGCTAACCTAAAAGCTGGCTCCTAACCTATCTGATCTATCAGTCACACCGCATCCTCAAGCTCCTACCTACTTTCCCACATTACAACCTCCATCTCTTCATTCACTAGCCAAGGGGTTGTCTCTGGGCATCCAGGTAAAAACTCACCCACAGGGATCAACTTCTTCAGACTTCTCTCCTTCCCAAAGGCAGCACTCTCCCTGGTCAGGCAAGAACTGCCCCTCATGTACTGGTAAAGTGCAGAAGGGATGAGAGCAGTCTCCTCAATCTCACAGCATGGTTCTGAGAGATGACACAGCCCCATGAGCTGAGATCAGGAGCACCACTAGCCTGGGTGGGTGGAGAACTGAGCACTATCATCCCTTTCAGCATTACTCTGAACTCTGCAGGGTTTAAGATGTTCTGGCTCCAATGTTTAAGCCCTAAGAATATTTTGATATTGCACTTTTACATAAAACCATTCAACTATTTTTGAGTTTTTGCCAAAAGTATTTTCCTTGCCTGGCCGGGGGTGGCTCAGCGGTTGAGCATCAACCTAGGATCCAGGCGATCAAAGTTTGATTCCCGGTCAGGGCACATGCCCTGGCTGTAGGCTTGATCAATGACTCTCATCATTGATGTTTCTGTCTCTCTCTCTCCTTCTCCTTTCCTCTCTCTGAAATCAATAAAGATATATATATATTTTTAAAAAAGTATTTTCCTTAATGAATTCCATTAAGTCGATTTAATTCCTTGATTTTCTGTATTTCAGTTAATTCTAGTTTTTCTCACTTTCCATTTTGTTTAGCCAAGATTATTTTTCCCAAGATCAAGTCTTTTTTCCATATGAATTTTACAATAGAGATTTGATTCCTCAATCACATTTTACTAAGTATGGTTCCTGCCACTGTGAGTTTCATTTGTACTGATTATTTCTACCAAGCCTGTGTTCAACAGTGGAGTCAAAATGCCAAGTTTAAGACAGTCCCCTTTGGACTCTTTCAGCATAGCATAACTGTTCTTAAGAGACTTTTAGGGTGTTTAGTGTGATAGTTCTTGCAAGGCTGATGGAGCATGCAGGTGGGAAGGGAGGTCTGAGGGAGTACCTTCTGGGGATCTGGTATGATGGGGTGAGAGACTGAACTTCCTATTAATTGACCCATCAGGGAAATCCACACAGCTTTCTGTGTGTCAAGCAAAGCCACCTACTCTCTCTCTCAGGAGAGCAGTGTGCCAACACAGGCGTTGTCCCTACATACTAGACACCCACCAGTAGGAAGGTTCTTCACCGTCCCTGTGGTGACCTGAACTCTAAACCAGGGGGCTCATGTATGGCTCTCTCTCTTCCAGTCAGCCCAGTCCTGCAGAGGGGCTGACGAGCTTAGCTCCAGTGAGAGCACATGTCAATATTTGAGGAAAGCAGTCAGTTGGGTTGCCATAGCTTGAGACTGAGGGGGAAATTGGCTGAGCCCAGCCTTTCTCCTGCCTCCCTGTGCCTGACCAATGCCTAGGGCCTTCCATGCCAACTGATGGCATCACTGCCAGAGGCTGGGCCTGACCCCAGGCTTCTTACAGGAGTTCCAGGATACTAAGAGCTTGATCTAATGCTCATCCCACTGAGTCTGGGTGGACAAAATTGATGGGCACTGACTTCTGGTGGAAAAGAGGCATCACTTAATGTTCCTGGAGAAGTCAGACCATGAACTTCACTTTGGGCTCTTGACTCAGGCTGAGCAAGGACCAGAGGACTGTACAGATATGAGTCAGGGTCCACAGCCAACCCTAACTACCCCCTGGTTCTCTGTGGGAAACTGAGACTGTGCCAGGATGACCAAGGTTTAAATACTGACAAGTGTCAATATCCTCACCTGCAAATTGAGGCAGTAATACAAACTAAAAAGGCTATAGGAATGTTACAATGAGGTAACTGACATAAACTGCCCAGCACTGAGCCTGGCATAGAGCAGGAGCTTAGGAAACAAAAGTTCCTTTACCCCTACCCTCTCTCTCTTTTCAACTTCATGTAGAGCCTGTGATGGCTACAAGTCCAATAGACAGAAAGCACCATTCAAAGAATCTCAGGCCAAAGACCACAGCAGGATCTGGCCAAGTTTATAAGTGATGGGGGCCAGGGGTGTTGTCTGAGGGTCTGGTACAGTCTTTCCTTGATCCCAGTCTGACACTTTCTTGTGGACTGAACTTTGAAAGTTAGAGGTCATAGTCCCAGGCCACAGTATTTCAAAGATTCAGAGGCTGCAGAAGTGGTTCTGAAATCTCTTGGTTCAGAGGGGCACCAGGTCCTATTATTAGTGGTTGCCAGTATCTCAGTATTTTAGAAGCAGCAGGGGTGGGCCTGAGGTCTAAACTCAGCTGCTCACATCCCTGTCCCTTGTCTTCTATCTTGCTTTCACTTCCATGTCCTCAAATATAGGCCCAGTGCACCCAGGAGATACCTAGTGGTCCTGTGAGATTTACAGGCCTACCCATGCAGCAAGTCAGCCGTTAGAGATAAGGGCTGGTGAACTGCAACACAGTCTCTCAAAGGCTGTGGCCACCACGTCTGGTCTTACCTCCTCCACTCTGCCTCTAGCACTTGCTTCTCCCCTGCTCCTTGACTGGGCTTAGGCCCCACCTTCTACTCCTCTGACATGGGTCCTTGGCCCTGACCAAGCTCTGGACTTAGCTTTGCTCTTACTTCCCTGACCTCTGACTGGTCCAGAGGACTGAAGATTCTGCTCCCGACTTAGATCTGCCACCATCAGTGACTCTCAGCTCTTGGGAGCTCTTTGCCAGCAACTCCCTCCTGCCTTTGCTGCTGCCAGCCCACCACCTCATATGGCTTCAAGCAGGTATGGGCCACAACTCAAAGTTAAAGCTATCTATCTAAATATGGTACTGTTTTAAAATATATGCCCCCATTTTCCAATACCCTAGAGGAAAATAAAGAAAACTCTTGTGTTAGGTGAAATGATTACCACCTTTCTAACTCTGTTTTAGCTCCAAGGTTCTGAAAGGAAAAATTTAAAATATTTCACTTGAGGTATGATTTTAGGGTTCAAGAGAAGGTAGACAGACTATTATATGATATGTGTACCTAACAGCAAAAATCTGATAGCTCATAACCATGATCTAAGCCTAAGGTACAAAATGGTCAGTATATGTGGATGTGTGTGTGGGTAGGGCAAGATGGGTGTCAATGTATTTGTATATTGTGTATAAAAATACACGATGAAAAACAGGCAAAACGAATCTATGGCGATTGAAATCAGGAAGTAGCTATCTTGGGGGGCTGATGAAAAGAATCATGAAGGAATTTTCTGGAATGAAAATGTCCTGTAGCTTGTTTGGGGTGCATGTTACAAGGATATAAATTGTCAAAACCAACCAAATGAACACTTAAGATTGGTATACTGTATCGTATGTAAACTATATGGCAATAAATTCCTTGTATAGATCCATGTGTTTATGTGTTCAAAGATGTGAATACACAGGTGTGATATGGATGTGACTGTGTGTGTGTAGCCCCACCCGTATGTCCATGATCTTGGTGTGGGATCTGGGCATTAGAAACGATGAGAACTTGGGCACACAGAAAGTACACACTACAGAACTTCAGCATGACCCCCAAGGCCACCAGCTAATCCTTTGTTCATCATTCCTCATTTGCCCAGCGTGTTCCCAAGGCCTACAACCCTTATCCAAACATCCTCATCTTCCGTGGGTATCCATGGAGCAACTTCTCTATAATTTTCTGGTTCCTGCTTGGGAAGGTTAAGGCCACTGGGTGTGAAAGGACCTCCCGCCCCAACTTCCCCCTGACTGCCCTTCCAGCTTTCTCCCGTGTTCCCAGCATTGCTGGGCAGACCTGAGAGGTAGGGACTGCGTGACCACATAAGTTACCTAGATACCTGTTTCTTCCCCTGTAACACAGGGCTGTTGATCTGTAAAGCTCGCTGAACAGTGCCTAGTGCTAAGTCAGTGCTCACAGCCATTCGTTGTGGTATCTCAGTGGTGGCACCTCGAGGGACCGCTGGTGTGTGTGAGCAGAGGGGTGCACGGGAGTGGCAGATTAGAGGGGCCCCCATCCTCCCACCTCACCCTTGGGACTCTCAACCACTCCTCCCCCCCACACACCTTTTCTTTCCAGGGCTTTCCAGAGCTCCGAGCCCCCTCCTACTTCCAGGGGCAGGAGGAGTGGGCTTGGCTGAGGTCGGGGGACCGGACCTACCCAGTCCGCCGGGCCTGCAGCGCGGGCTTGGCCGGCCTCCCAGTCAGAGCCTACGTCTGAAGCCCCACCTGGAAAATGGCTCCTTTAAGGCTGTTCCAGCCTAAACCCCGTCCTCTTCCACCTCTTGAGGGGCAGACACTCCGCCCACTCCAACAGCGTCTCCCCAACCCGCCGCACAGAACTGGACGCGCTAGGACCCAGCCTCGGACTGCGCTCCCACTGGGCCAGGAGCGTCGCTCAGTCTTTCTCAGCCGCGGCTGGAGACCGTCGTGATACCGCGAGATCTGGGGGATGGGGCGTGGCCGGAAGCTGGGCCCCTCTCGCGAGGCCAAAAGGAGCGGAGCCAGGAGGCCTAGATCTGTGTGGAGGTCGTAGGAGTCACATCACCGCCGCCGGCTCTTTCGCTTGTTGGTCCGCGTCCCGCCTGCCCTAGCCATGCTCTCCGCCTTTGCTCGGCCTGCCGGCGCAGCTCTCCGCCGCAGCTTCAGCACCTCGGCCCAGGTACGCTCGACGAGGGGCTGGCTGCCGGCGGAAGCCCCCGGCCTGGACCACGTGCGTTCCTGCCTCGCGAGCAGCCCTGGCCCGGGGGCCGGCCTGTACCGCAGGGCCGCCGGTTACTGGCCGGCGGCTGTGGCACCCTAGGCTGGCCCTGATACCTGGCGGGAAATGCGGGAGAGAGGGCGGGGGCAGGTAGCCCAACTGCAGAACCAGTGCACTTCTCCGAGCCCCCCAGTTCGTCCCCCGGATCGCCCAGAGGGCCTGCTTTTGGAATGCACCCCTTCAAGGCTGAGAATCTAGGGCCGAACGTAATTTGTTTTTATGCAGCTTTGAGTGAATAACCTTGTTCTTGCGTTACCCTTATAAGTAATGTGTAATTATTCACTCCATAGTACAGACAGGCGTGGTACCGAGGGTAAAGAACTGGTCCAAAGTTAGTGGTTTGGCCAGAGGATTAAGATTCAGCTCTCCTGACCACAGTCAATGGCTTTTGGATAACCAAGACTTCAAGAACCTGAAGACTGCTTCTTCTTAAGGACCTATTTAAAGGATCCCTATGCTGTAGTGGACTGGGCCTGCCCCCAGGTGTTGTAACTTAGCCTGGGACTACTAAAGCCTAAGCTATTTTTAGCTATTTTTTCTAAGACCGTGGTTCTCAAACTCTGGTATGTGGCAGAATCACCAGAAAGCTAATAAAGAACAGAGAGGCCCAGGTTCATTGAAAGAGGGTAGGACCTGGGCTTCTGTATTTTTACCAAGTGCCCCAGGTGATTCTAATACAACCAAAATCAGAACCAGGAGATGCCCATTTGCCCCCCCCCCCAAAGGGAGGTGATTACTAAAGGAGATTCCACATTTCTTACTGGAGTTTCTGTCCTAAAGATCACTTTTCTGTGCATTTAATTCATTTGAAAAATAAGTATATTGAGTGCTCGTGCTTGCCAAGGGTTGGGCTGGGCGTTGCAGGGGATACCAAAATGAGTAAAAAGTAGCACCTGAGATCAGCCAAAAATGAGTCAACTTAAAAGACAGGTGGAGGTGATGAAGATTGATGCTGAGTGAGGAGTGGGAGAAGGAAACTGACCAAAGTTAAGACGGCAGGATTTACTGACATGATTTGGTGGGGGTACTGAGCGAAAGAGGAGCATGGACGACACCAAGGCTTTGGCGATTGCTGAGATGGGAAAAGATTGCTGGAAGAGAGCGGTTTGGGGCCGACGGAGGATATCAGGAGCTCAATTTTAGATATGTTGAGTTTTAAATGCCTATTACGCATACAAGTAGAGATATTGAGAAGGCACTATGTCAGAAAGATGAGCTTGAGTCAAGTGTTACATTGGTCTAGAGACTTGAGATTCTGTATCCTTTACAGTAAAAATGTGTTGAGCACAGCAACCTCAATATATTTACTTCTACAGATGTGCTAGTGGTATATATTTATAACACAAACAAAACATAGAAATTTAAAGACAAACTAACAGACTTTAAATAGTAAACTTATAAATAAATGTTACTGTCCATTTTCAAAACAGTTGCTAAGCAATAAGTTGATGAAATTTTGTAATATACAAACAATAACCACCTCAGCACATTGAAAGCAACCTAATGAGTGAGGTCATCCCCCTCCTCCCTCCTCCTCTGTTGTGTTCATTTTGTGTGTCATATAGGACTGATTGACTTAAGGACCCTAGGGAGGGCATCAGGTCAGTCTGTTTCTTGCTAGTTTTAATTCTTTATCAGATAAAAATAAGAACACAAACTGTCATTTTTATCCTGCACCCCAGTGGAATTGTTTTGTGCTCCCCACATTGGACCACTGCCCTGTTCAGCCTTGGAAGCCAGGCTGAGTAATATGGGCATGAGTAATTTCAGAGGCTTCTTGAGCAAGGAAATGGTTAAAACTTTGAGTTTTATGAAGAATGTTTTGGAGGTGGTGCTTAGGACCTAGGCTAGATAATGGGAAGGTGTTTGAGATGAGTCCTCCTTGTCCTCACTGGGTGTCTCTGATGAGGGAGGAGGTAGAGGTCGGTTCCAGTGGTTTGGATTTGGGAGGACACAGGTGCCATTTGAGATGGGAGAGGTAGGGAATAAACTTATTTAGACATTCGGGCGTGTGGGACAATGGAATGCCTAACACGACTGCGAATGTGGAGTTGGAATTTGGGAGTCCCTAGGATTGGGAAAAAGATGTGGAAGTGATAATCGAAGATCTGAAAGTGGATATGATTGCCAGACCTCAGGTTCTGAGTTGGTCTGACTAGTTTTCTGTGAAGGGTTCACCTTTGAAGCATCAACTTAAAAAAATTCAAGCCCTGGCCTGTGTGGTTCAGTTGGTTAGAGCGTCATCCCATGTACCGAAGGGTTGCTGGTTTGATTCCCAGTCAGGGCACATACCCAGGTTGTGGGTTCAGTCCCTGGTCAGGGCATGTATGATGTCAGTCTGTCCCTCCCCTCCCC